TGGTGAAGATAGGGAATTTAAGAGTCTCTCTGCTACCACCTACTCCTACACGTTTGCACCAATAGCTGGCCTTGATCCATGTTCTCCTCTATCATCTCATGATGGCTCTGTTTTCTTTTGTGTGTGTGTTTGTATGAGAGGGATGTACCTGTACAGGTGTGCACACGGAGACAAGAGTGCAACTTTTGATGCTGTTCCTCAGTCACTATACACCTTTTGTTTTTGAGACAGGGTCTTGTTCTGTCCTGAAGCTTACGAGTTAGGGTAAGTTGGTTTGCCAGTGAGCCACAGGGTTGGTTTATTTCTGATTTTCCACTATTTTGATTATAATTGTGTACCATTTTGTGTGTATGTGTGTGTATTGTATATGTGTGCTGGTTACTCAGCATAGGTTAGCATGCTTGCAAGAGAAGCATGTTACTGATAGACTCATCATCTCAGCCCTCATTATAATTCTTAAATTCTCTTTCTTGAACATTGAACAAAACTTAAAAAATGTGTTTACATTGTTTAAAAAAATCATTCTCCTTGGATAAAAGTAATACATACTAATGTTTTCTGCCTTTTTTCATTAAAAGGCTGATTAATTAAGTACAGTATTACAGCTGTTGCTTTGTTTGTTTGTTCTTATATAGAGCCTTACTCTATAGTCTAGGCTGGCCTCCAACTTATGGGACCCTGTTACAAACTCCAGAATATCGGGGGTATAGATGTTTCTCACCATTCCTGGTACCTACAGCTTAATTCGGTCCTGTAATCCATAGCTGAACACAATCTTTATGTTAGCTTTAATGCAGAAAACACACACCTGGGCATACTCTATTTAAGTGCTTCATAAGATACTGAGACGAGCAGTATCATCCCACTATCAGCATGTGAAAATAGCCCTTTTTCCTCCTATATGGATGGAAATGTCTGGGTATAGTAATTCCTTCCCTTGCTTAGTTTAAAATTCTTCAAATAGTCATCTTAAGTGCAGTTTTACTCATTAAATAAACATGTATTCATGCACTTGGACAGGCATATTGTCCTGTCAGTATTCTTTCATGAAGAATTTTCTATCTTATCTACAATTATGTGTGAGCAGATGCCTCAGTGTTCAACAGGTGAAGTTGACTCACAACAAACTTGAAGATCTGTTGGAATTGACTCTCTCCTGCCCCTCTTTAAACTCCCTGCCCTAGTTTGGATCTTCCAGCTCAGTTGGTGGTTTCACACCAAGGCTGAAGAAGAATCTATAAGAGAAAAAACAAATACCATCCTGCCCCTGAGGTGAGAACTTAGTTGAGGGTAATTCACAAAGAGTTAGAAAAAGATCACACACACTCTCTCTCTTGTATTTTGTATTGCCAAAGGGCACTGCCACTACATTGTCTGTTGATGCTTTGGGTGAACATTAAACTCACTTGCAGAATTTATTCTCCACTCCCTATTAGGAAACTTATGCAACCTGAATCCTTAATGGGCTTAATCAGCAGGATAATGCGACATTTCCCCTACCCTAAGTTAAGCGCAAGGCAGAATACAAAAATGTACAGGAGACATCTCAGACCTTGCAGGTTTTACAATATGGTTGTAGAGAATAGGGGAGGTCACAAAAATATACTGTAACCCATGACTTATCTACTGAAGGGACTGATCCAGTCAGGGCTCATTTGTTTGCATGGAAAAGAAACACATTTGAAGTTTCCTAAGTTCAATTTGAGAACACTTGCAGAAAGTCCAAGGGAAGTTAAGCCTCTGGTTTCCTGAAAAAGTATAAGAAGAGAACAGCGAAGCAGAGAAACCTCCCTTATCTTTTGTTACAGCAGCCAGCTCTGCTGCTTCCTTTATTCTCTCCACCTTCCACTAAATGGCTGCTCTGAGGAGGATAACTCTGGATCTATCAGTCCAGAAGCAGCTTTCATAATCTAACTCAGTTAATTTCATATTTGAAAATATCACATTGGAAAAGATACCGCTATCTCCTTTAGCATCACCAGTGGCCACAACATCAGCAGCAGCACAATGAGCTGCTTATTGTATGTATCAAGAGGTTTCCTTGCATCTGTTAGGATTATTGCACTCAGGAAGGAACAGGGATGGAAAGGAAGGAAAATAAAAGGGTAGGGATAAAAGCATCATGAAAGAACTGAGTTCAACTATGCCTGCATTGGAAAACTATTTCAAGGCATCCATTCTAATAGGATCCCATGAATACATTGCTCTTAAGTATATGGGATTTCAGGAGTTATTTTCTAGTGTATACTACCCACAGACACAGATCATTTGCCCCTTATATTCCTGGCAACTGAGCCCAAAATTATTTACAGGTTCTTTCCTTAGAAAGGAAACATACTGAATAAGGCTGTGATAAACTTGTAGATCCTCAAATTACCCAAACTTTACCAACTGAAAGTATTTTTACCGTGTAATCCCAATGTGATAGATGTTGAAATTATTTGTCTTACATAGAAACAGATACGGCAAAGGGAGTGTCATTTAAGCCAAATGTCATTTGGCTTAAATATATTAAAAGATCATCAAGAAAAAATGCCAGAATTCTTTTGAGTATAAGCTTCATCTGAATCAACTTTATCTCAGTGCTTTAGTAGAATTTGGAGAGATGTGCTGTATACCTATAAAATGAAGAAAGGTTTTAATGGAATAATCACATAAATTCCCTTCTTAATCTGTCAATAAAGTATAAGAAAGGTAGCTAAGCAGGCAAACTAGGAATAATTCTTGGTAAGCTTTTGAAAATACATGTCAAAATGACCCCTTTCAAAAAGCTCAAATGACTAAAATTAATAGGACCTGATAATACCAGTGAATGTAGGGCAATTGCAATTGACACACATTTTAACTGAGAGTGTAAATTCTTACAAATGTGATAGAAAACTGCTAGCCAACAAGTATACCCCATGATGGAGCAGTTCTAGCACTAAGACAATACTTGGGAGAAACATGAACATAGTTCACTTAAAGACATGCCAAGAATAATCATATTGGCACTATTTATTGTAGTTCAAATTAGAAATCAGTTGAATATCCATTAATGGAAAGGGTAATGACATTGTGATATGTTCAACAAGTATGGTGGGCTACAATTGCAGCAATGATGTGGATGGCTTACAAGTAATTTCAAAGAAACCAAGCATAAGAAAACGCCTGTTGCACAATCCTATGTATATAGGTCTCTGCACATAAATGATTCACTAACTGAAAACCCTTTGATAGAGATGCCATATAGAACTGTGGACCAGAGTCTAAATGAGCCCAGATTTTTCATTCATCTCTCTGAAGATGTCACACATGGGGGCTGAGTTATCTTGCTCCTTTTCAGTTAAGTCATTGAATACTAGAGTGACCCCTGCCAATGTCTTATATAACAGAAGAACTATGCAGCCAAGCCTGTCTGAGTTCCTAATTGAAAGACTTCCGAACTATAATAAAAGGATCTCTACACACCATTATGTTCTGAGAAGCATCCTCAGAAGGCTGAAACTTCTCCCATTAGATAAGGTTTGAAATATTGTTTGCCTTGCATGCTTACCATTTACCTCTACTCTTAAATTACACAAGAGGTTCTTGTACTTCAAAACACAAAACTAGAGTCAGATATTGTAGGTTTAAAGTAATATCTTAGATCAAAGTAGCCTACTGCCAATATATTCATGCATACATCGCATGACACTCAGTAGATGTCCAAAACTACAGAGAGTATCAAGTCTGAAATGACACAGCCCTGAAACATTTCATTAAGAGATACTATATCTAAGAAATCTACTCAATGAGTCATAGGTAGATAATATTATATAAAGAGTAGATACTCTGGACAAGGGGATGACTCATTTTCTAAGCAGGGAAGAGGAAAAGGCATGCATATTTTTCATATTACTTAAGACAGTATGTAATTCTAATTGACGCATTGATTATTTGTGGTACTTTATATTTAATATTTTTGGGCTAGAGTTGATCACAGTTGACTGAAATCCAATAAAGCAAAACTTCAGATAAGGGGAGACTACTATACTAGCAATATGGCCTCAGGCTATTCAACTGATCCAAGGCTCAGTGTATGTCATTTAAACTATTAATTTGGTTGATTTGAGATTCTAAAGTCTATCTAAATAAATGCCTAGAGAAAATTGACAAAGAATACTTTTTATTAAGTGTACAGTATATTGAAACTACATGCAAAATCCATTAACTATCTAGCCTGTAGAATACACCCTTGCCTTCTCCCTCCAGCATGCATTTTTCTTTACATTTCTGTATTCTTCCAAAATAAGTTACCCAGAATTTGTCATTTCAGCCTTTCTAATGGCTTTCTAATACTTTCTTCTTTTCCTCTGTCATTGGAATTGCATTTCTTATCGTTACCATACTACTCTTCACAAGAAAATTAATTTCAATCTCAGCTTTTGAGGCCATCAACGGGAAGATCCCAGCTTCCTCTGCAATTCCTTTCCTGCTTATACAACAGCTTTCCGCTTAAAAAGATGACTTCCCGATTCCTAGAACGGGATCCATATCACTATTCAGAGTCATTTTGTTTGCCCCAAGTGACAGACATCTCTATTTCATCCATTTCCATTAGTAAAATTCTTCCTAACTTAAAGACTGTTTCAAACTTCAGACTACCAAATAACCATTTGTTAATTATTTTCTCCATTCTTTCCTAGTTATTAGTTCTCCCTCTTTTCTCCCTCCCTACTCACCCCCCTCCTCAGCAATGAATCTGAGTCTCCTTTCCAGCTTTCCATAGAGAATCAGTCATGTGCAGTTTTTAAATCTCCATGCATAACAAGACCCCTCAGCTCTATCCTAATGCTTTGCACCTAGTGGACATTTAACAAAAACTCACTCAATCATACTATAATGGTTTAACTAGTGAGAAGAGTAGGATCTTGACATTGAGTTTGAAGTTAAACACAATTTTGTGTGTCTAATCCATTTTGAAAACTATTTGCATCTGAACTGATGAAAAATCATTTCTACGCTGAACCTACTAGAAGAGGAAGTAGTCTCGAATACATTGGCATAGGAGATCACTTCCTAAATATAACACCAGTAGCATAGACACTGAGAGAAACAATCAATCAATGGGACCTATTGAAACTGAGAAGCTTTTGTAGAGCAAAGGATACGGTCAACAGGGCAAAGCGACAGCCTACAGAATGGGAAAAGGTCTTCACCAACCCCATATCTGACAGAGGACTGATATCTACAATATATAAGGAACTCAAGAAATTAGACATCAACAGCCTAATGCCCAACAGTCCAATTAAGAAATGGGCTATAGGGCTGGAGAGATGGCTCAGAGGTTAAGAGCACTGACTGCTCTTCCAGAGGTCCTGAGTTCAATTCCCAGCAACCACATGGTGGCTCACAACCATCTGTAATGAGATCTGGCACTCTCTTCTGTATACATAATAAATAAATAAATCTTTAAAAAAAAGAAATGGGCTATAGAACTAAACAAAGAATTCTCAACAGAGGAAACTCAAATGGCTGAAAGACATTTAAGGAATTGTTCAACATCCCTAATTATCAGAGAAATGCAAATCAAAACAACTCTGAGATACCACCTTACACCTGTCAGAATAGCTAAGATCAAAAACACTGAAGACACCTTATGCCGGAGAGGATGTGGAACTAGGGGAACTCTCCTCCACTGCTGGTGGGAATGCAAGCTTGTACAACCACTTTGGAAATCTATTTTTATAAGAATCTAGGAAAAGACATTTCTTTTTTTCTTGCTTCCTTCAGTTTCACATCCCTGGGTCTGACTGTCAGAGTAATCTCATTTCTCTTAACCTAAGTCCACTGTGGTCCAGAGTGAGCCATTCCTTTTGGATTTGAAGACAAAAAAATAATGTGGTGGTCACATCAAAGCTTTTCTCTCTTTGTTCTATGCTGTGTTCCTTCCCTACATTATGGTCAGCACACATGTACACTAAACAATTGGCTCTATGTGAACTCACAGAAACAAGTTCCTGGCCTAAACACAGTGGTTAATCCAATTGCACTAATAAACATCTACCATAGTATTTTTTTCCTAGACTCATTAAGAACACCTTGAGACCTGTTATTTGCAACTCAGATCACATGAAGCCATGGTCTCACCTCCACGTTTAATCAGTAAACCAACAACTTATTTTTTCTTTTTGTTAATATAATGAATCTACATTTAAAATTTAGAATAGGCCATATTTTTTCTTTTCTAAAAGTTAATTCATTCCTTTTGACTTTTACAGAAATACTTTTCTTCTCATTGTTTCTGAGAATTAAATAGCCACCATCATCTTTCCCTGAATTCCCTACCATGAATAACAGTCAGCACACAGAATGTGCCCATCAGCAGGCACACTGCATCTTTGTGGTCTTCCAAAGACTCTACTTACTACAACCACCTCAGTGCACCTCAGCCATGGGGGACTTTTGCCATCCCCATGTCATAGTCATGGCTGGACTCTCTTGCATTTGCACACTTCATTTTTTAAATGTCTTTTATCTCTCTGGATTTGGACAAAATAGTATAAGTGAATATATAAGAAATATATATATATATATATATATATATATATATATATATATATGTGTGTGTGTGTGTGTGTGTGTGTGTGTGTGTGTGTGTGTGTGTGTATTACTTCCTTCTATGTTAACACAGGGCTTGTCCTGATACCCCATATATTTTTAAGAAACATGAATTAAAATGAAAAGTAAAACCTGCTAATTATAGAAAGAATTATACAAAAGAAGCTTCTAGAAAGAATACTATGGTATTAGATCATATTTGGCAATGATACATAATAAAGAACCATACCATAACCTGAATGCACATAAATCATCTAACTGTTGTGTTTAGAGAGAAGAAGTGAAAGTGTTTCTTTTAATAACATTCTGTCCCAGGGATTGGAAAGCTTTTTTGGTAAAACATCAGACAGAAAACCCTGAAAGGATGCAGGTAGTTTAAATCTACCATCATTAGGGCCAACCTGCTAAAGACAATACATAAAATAATAAAGCAGCTGAGCTTTGTGAACTTTACTCATAAACACAGGTAGTGGGCAAAACTCTGGTCACAGCTTTTCAGCTCTATAGTCAGCAGAGCTTTACTTACTGCATGGAATAATGCCCAAGGAATGGTGATCATGTATTTCCTGACATGGAGGACCTTATCTCCTTTGACATCATTTTCACACATTCTGAATACCACATACCATGTTTCTATCTATGTATTTATCCAGACATAGATGGGTGATAGGAACCCAGGTAGGGAGATTGATAGGCAGGCAGGCAGACAAAATATATACAGATGTGGATAACTTGCTAAATAGTTAAGCATGATGTCTGAGCTGTGGCTTCAGTAGTTGAGGAGTCCTCATCTTCTTCACACAAATGAATCTAGCTCCTAGAGTAAGGATGTGGCTCATACATGTACATCTATATATGTGAATGTAATTTACTCATAGCCTTCGGTTTCTCACCACTTCCACAGTTAACAACCCTCTTCTTGTTGATTTCCTCCTTTCTCAGTGAGAATGTGTTGGCCCTCAGAAAAGACGTCCCTGAAGAATAGTCTCAGTCACACATGCATTTGTCCATTGAAATGTCTGATGAGTATACAGAGCATAAGGGCTAATGGAACAGTCAATTATATAAAACATCATTGTTAGACATATTTTATCAAAATTTTTATGCCTTATGCTTCAGGGAATTTAGTGACATCTGTCTGGATTTTTCTGTGGTTTCTGCTAGACTGCACTTTAGTCATTCAAAAATGATGAAAAAGTCTTTTCCTTCCAGTCAGGTGCAACTCATATTAAAAGACAAACATCCCTCCTCCATGTTCTCTGGTTGCTGACATGTGATCTCTTGTATTCACTGACCCTTTAAATAGTCATAGCCCTAAAACATATTCTCTCCTGGGATTAGATGCTAAAATGAAAATATACTATTTCTACATAGTTAATTATGTTCCCAATTATGCTATCATAAGAATAACCACAGAAATATTATATTAAAAAAAAGGTTGCTTCTGCCAGTGACTGCATGTTCATACAAGTTTGGGGGGAGCAATCAATTTTCAATTTTTTATCACAAACTCTCAGCAAAATAAGTAGCTCTAAAGCATCCAGAAGCCAATAGGTATGAGTTTTCAGAATGAGGCAACTATTGCATTCACTGCAGATGATAGTGATGTTTTATTCTTATCCATTCAACATCTCTTCAGAGTAGACCCTCTTGAATTCCCACTAGCAAAAAGGCCTCTGAGCTATACAAATGGCATACATGGGAACAAAGGTTCTCAGGAATAGTTCTCAGCCATACTAGCAGAAGGGTGTGAATAACTTCCTCTCCCTTGGGTGGGATGACCCGGAGCTTTGATTCTTACAGTGGAACCCAGGGTTCCTTTGAGGAGTGAAGCCTTAGTTTCCCATGATTATGGAGGACTTGATAGGGTGACTTCTATTGCCTGCCTCTTCTGTCCCAGTAATACTACTTCAGTCTCTTTTCTTCATTTCATAAGTGAATTTTGTGCTGAGCCTCTTTTTGAGGAAACACAAAGACAGAGTCTTAAGCTCAGCCCATCTTGCAGAAATTCAAGCATAATTATTGCATATCTATTTTTACCTCCCCAAACTAAACCTTTTTAAAAATCTGGCTTTGAAGAAACCTATCTAAACATATCACAAAAGTCTCAGGGAAGTATGTACAAGAAACTAATCAAAGCCTGCTGTATCCATGCAGACTTGAAGAGGCGAAATTACCGCATTCTTGAAAGCACAATAGGAGCATCCTAGTGTAGTATGTGAACTTCATCTCTGGTACTTTGCATTTTCTCCCTTCCATTTTATTAACTATAGCAGAGTACAGAAGCAATATGTTGAAGCTAGATGTATATTTGCATGAGCAAAAAGTAATAATCTGCACACAGTTTGAACATTCAACCATCCCTTGACTTCTAGAATAGCTAGGTATGTCAAAAAACACCAGTATTAGAGGCAAGTTCCAACAGTATTAGAAGTATGAGACAATGAAAAGTTGTATATGAAGTTCCTTTCTTCACAGTCAAATTATTCTCCTAAAGTCTTAAGAAAGCCATCAGTGAAGTTGTGGAGATGATCAGCAGTTAAGAGCACCAGCTGCTCTTCCAGGGGACCTGAGTTCAATTTCCAGCACCCACATGGTGGCTCAAAACCAGCTCTCACTCTAGTTTCAGGGGATCCTATCTGGCCTCCATAGGTGCTGTCACAAAGTAGTACAGAGTCATTGATGCAGGCCAAACACTCATACATATAAAAAAGGGATATTTTTAAAAATTAAATAAGTCACTAGTGGCAGTGCTGTGTCTGGAGGGAAAGTAACTGTGCTTTCACTCCATAGATTTTTCTATAATTACATATTCTCAAACTGCTTAGAGGGTCTTTTAAATTTTTAAACATTTTTCATATTGTTTTGAGGGAAAATAATAATTTTTATAGTATTCATGGCCCAAGTAAAGTCTTCTGAGCAAAAGCAGTGGATTCTAAGGTGTCCCTTGAGGCCATTCTGGCTAAAAGAGTCATCAGTATTCAATAATAGCATATGAGTTAAGAACTCATGAAACCTGATTCATTTGAGGCTAACACCTCATGTTGAGATTGTTCAAAACAGGTGTGGAAATGATTTGAAACAGAAAAGGAGACTTTGAATGAGCAGAATATGGTTCAAGGAGTAAAAAGTAATAATGTGCACACAGTTTGAACATTCAACCAATCCCTGACTCTGGAAAAGCAAGGCATACTGACACCCCACCTCGAATATCTCCACTGAGTTAGCTGGCTTCCACACCCAGTAAGTTCTCACTGAGAAGGACTCACAGTGCACACTTTAGTTTTTCTGACATCTTTCCTAATGTGAGACCACCCAAGGCCTCAGAGACTCAGTCTCAGAATCTTCATACTTTCTTTATTGTGATTTTTTTTTTGTTTTTTGTTTTTTGTTTTTCGAGACAGGGTTTCTCTGTGTAGCTTTGCACCTTTCCTGGAACTCACTTGGTAGTCCAGGCTGGCCTTGAACTCACAGAGATCCGCCTGGCTCTGCCTCCCAAGTGCTGGGATTAAAGGCGTGCGCC